CTGTACAGAAACAATTTGGTTTTATTCAATATAAAGTTTAAATAATCAAATGACCTCAACCTACTCCCTGTGGGTTTTGAGTTTTCCTTTCCTGTTGAGGATTGATGATGTCGCCATACATCAGTTAACCTGCTACACAAACAATCACCTTTAGTCTCACATGTTATTATAATTGTTTGATTCTCTAATCTGCTGTTTGTGAATTGATCATTTCTGTAAGGTTCTCCACAACGACCACTTTGGGCAATACAAAATACACTGATTGGGTTTGGTAAAATATCATTCCGGGATTCCATGAACTTTGAACAATTGATTTAAATTGGACTAGGACATTGTACTTAAAATCATGAATGATTTTTTAATGTTGGCCGTAGAGCAATATTGTAAACAGTCATTAGGATTCTGGAATAATCAGAGCCAGTATACAGTAGCTAGGGGAAGAGAGAGTATATAAAGTACATAATGAGACAGAGAAATGGAACAAGAACAAATACTCAACTTGTAGTTTGTAAAAAGTATTTCTGCGTATATATTACAGACATCGAACAGCGAAGGCGACCGGTCTGTATTACATATTTTCAGAAGTTACTCATATACTCTTTAAAGCCTAATGTCCTTTTGAGGAAACCAGCTGGAATTGCCCTCAGCTTCAGCACTTGTCTTCTTCGGACGTTGTGTGTAGATGTATGTCCATGTTTTTTGCTCCTGAAAGACGCTGGCAAACGCAACATGCTTACAATACTCAACTTCCCTGATGTCTATTTGAATCGCGTGTCGTAATAGAAGGCTACAGTTGATAGTACGACACCGCTAATACTACTAGAAACACAAACATTATGAAAACATTTGTAAATCTAAAGATACTAATGTGTCTAGCAATAAAAGGCTGCGAACTATATACAATAATGAATGGGGCGGTTTTTATGTTCATGGCCGTATATGAAATATACGAAATTCATGCTTAACAAAAATGTGTAATAAAACGCCTGCACCACTTGTAAGTTATGCCTCCTTAACTCTGGAGAGATATTGAGAAATGCAGGGGATATATAAGAGTGTAGTTATAGAAGGACAGAAAAAACTTAATGTAGCCTAAATCTGGCTTTATTTTTGCGATCAAAATGAAACTTCTGAATGAAATCCATTCAACCCAGTGCAACAAACGACCCATGAATTAGGCTAGAAGCACATTCTTGTTGAAACCACGGCATTTTGACACATAATTATACAGTTCAATCCCTGTGGTCGCAGTACTGACACGTTAGATCACTTTTTCACGTCTCATTTTACACCTGTTCATATCCTTTTTTAATTTAACAGGAGAGAAGGGTTAAAACTCAATTGCAGAGCTGTGTATGTAACTGTCTTGCCTGAGAATAGTATTGTTATTTTATGTATTCCATTGGCACATCCACATTTCACATATGCCTCAAGCCACCACAGTTGAGGCAGATCCACCACCACCCCTCCCCTTCTGAACCTGAGCTCAGCCATTTTACAGTCATCCCAAAGTCATGTGTTATTAAAATGTGTCCGTAATAAGAAACACTATTAACCCATCTGCATCGGGGGCCTTCCTCTAACTGCTGATCAAATATTAAAGAGCACATGAGTGATTGGAGCAGGTTTTAATCAGTGTCGAGTGAAAGAGTGCACCACAGGAAGGTCACAGACTGGAGTCATTTATAACGTCCCGGAGAAGCCCTCATAATGGGGCCAATCACAGCGGCCCGGGACAGACGGGGCAAGGGACGGCAAAACAAATGAAGGACAGAGGGATTATGTTTGTAGTCTAAGTTGTTTTAATGTTGATTGTAATCACTGTAACAATGGCAACTTAGTCATCTCCTGAGATCAATGGTGACTCCAGCCTATTGACATTTAGTAATTAGCAGACATGACATCAGACACTCATGCTATCAATTTAGCGTTTGACCTGGTTTTGCCTGTTGACCCCAAAAAATGAAAGTGATGGACATTATACAAATAAATACCTGATCAAGTTCAGTATTAGATAATTGATGGATAATTGTTCGTTGGGGCAATTATCCATCATTTATCCATCCACACATCAGTCTTGAATGAATGGGAAAAAGATTAGTCCACCATGCATGAATTACACTGGATAAAACATGTAAAATAAACCCCCCCCTTGAAAAATATACAGGAATGGGAAGAGTCCAGGTAAAGCGGTTGTAAACTGGACCATGACCTTTCACAATGACCCAGCACAAGTCTGAGAGAAGTCTGCTTGTGTGCTAATAGGTTTCACCATTGCTCCAGTAAAGTGTGATCTGTGCTGCACCGCACCAGACCTGGGACATTAGATAAATAATTACAGTCTGAAAATACTTGTCAGTGTTTATTTTGGGCCACTCAAAGGTCACCTGCGACTGCACACTGCAGAACCAAGGAAGCTGCAATATTAACCTACTTTTCAAACTATTACTTGGACTGCAAGGAAAGTTCATTTGAATCTGTCAGCTAAACAAACTCATGGTGGAAAAGGTTGCATTAATGACATTATTTTTACAGCTAGTACAACTAATTCTCATAATGATAAAAGTGACCTCCGAAGACCTAAGATGTTTAGATACTAAAAATCATAAAATAAAAATTAATCAGAATAAATACTAAATTAATATAAATAGAATAGTTATCTGAAGTTCAAGTAATATAGTCTTCTATAGTTAGAAAATATTGTTATTTTTTCTACTCATTCCTATTTCTTCCTGACTTAGACCTGCATCAGACCTAGTCTTGGTTCAGTCCTACCTTAAACCTGATGTAGTCATGATTTTGTCCTGCTGTAGTCCTGGTTCAGTCCTGCTTTAGTCCTGGTTCAGTCCTGCTTTAGTCCTGGTTCAGTCCTGCTTTAGTCCTGGTTCAGTCCTGCTTTAGTCCTGGTTCTGTCCAGCTTTAGTCCTGGTTCAGTCCTGCATTCGTCCTGGTTCAGTCCTGCTTTAGTCCTGGTTCAGTCCTGCTTTAGTCCTGGTTCAGTCCTGCATTCGTCCTGGTCCAGTCCTGCTTTAGTCCTGGTTCAGTCCTGCTTTATTCCTGGTTCAGTCCTGCATTCGTCCTGGTTCAGTCCTGCTTTAGTCCTGGTTCAGTCCTGCATTCGTCCTGGTTCAGTCCTGCTTTAGTCCTGCTTTAGTCCTGTGCTGCTGTGTGAGTCTCAGCACAAGGCCAGTCCCTGTGCTCCTCAGAGCTCAGCTGGTTCATATGACACCTCCATGATAAGTATAAATAGATACTTTATTGATCCCCGTAAGAGAAATGCAGGTGTCCAGTAGCAGCAGAAACACATGCATCCATACAAACAAAACAAATACATATTTCTAAAAGTAGTTAACAATAGTAACAACAGTAATAGCAACAGCACTTTACGTCGCAGCCGCAGAGAAGCCGCTTGGTTTGGACCATTTTATCTGCTCAGATGCTGAATGCTTTGTTAGCATTTTTCAAAAAGTTTACATTCTTGCAGTGGATTTTTGCCTCTTACTTAGACTTAGGACTTGGAGAAAACGGAGAAGATCAGATTCAATTGGCCTGAAATAGTGGGACCTGGCATTCTTAATCTTTTAATGATAATGATGCAGCTGCTTTTTGATTTTTGATTGTGAAAAACGTTGTTAAAACATCGGCATCCTAAACAAAATAAGTGGGGAAATCTCAGTGTTGCAGTGCACATCACAGACTGGATGGAATAAGAAGAGCGCTCAAAACAAAATACATCTGACAAATACCTGTAGAATAAGTCAGATCTTTTTGCTCAAAAATTAGAAGCATAAAATTGTAATTACCAAATACATACTGACTCAAAAGACAGTACATACAATTATAACATTTCCAGACCAGTATGTAAGTAAGTACATTTTATTTATATAGCACATTTTTACAGACCAAGGTCACCCAAAGCACTTTGCAATGTGGTGGCTCCAACTGTTGCATTAGCCACATAAGGATATCACAAATATATAATTAATTGTCGTGCAATTTGTTATATCTTTGCATTTTCTCACTTACTTGAAGACTATAATATCATAGAATTCTGCTAATCGTTCTTTAGTAGTATCGTCAAAACGTTCTTTAAGGTCCTGGTTCAGTGTCACATTCAAAATGTGTTATTTGTGTGTGTGGTATTGTACAACAAAAGCTGTTTTGGTACAAGCCTGCAGAATTCAGACCCATATTTATGGTGTTAATCTAAAGGTGTGAAAAGCTCTTTCTTGGCTCATGTTCGATTGTTGGCACTGTCGACGCAGGAAGGTGCAAAGACATGATCAATGTTTGAGACACTTCCACGCTGACTGTAATAAAGACAAACAATATTTACACAGCAAAATAAGTCACGTGAAGCTGAAATCTGCAGGAAAAGAGTATGTACATATGATCCGCTGAGAGACCTTTTTATTTGTGCCACTGTAGGAATTAAACAACAGACGGAATATCGGATGTGGTGTGGGTTAGCTCCAGAGAACCATTGAAGTTCAGATCTTGTTTGAGTTTTCTGTCTTATGCGGACAATTGTGGTTGTTTTGCCCTGGATATTTGTGTGTGTGCTGTTTATGTGTGTGTGTGTGTGTGTTTATACAGTATATGTGTGTGTATGTACTCATGTGTATATTTTTAAATGCAAAATTAAAGATTTTGCAATTCAATGTCATTATGTTCAACCAGTAATACAGATTATTTACATTAGACAACATTTCTCAAGTCCATCTCAATAATACCCATATGTAGGTACTATACACACAATAAGTAGCCTTACCAGTCATATGCATTTATACTTCTTGACAGCTGAATCATTTATTGAGTCCATTCATTCTGCTTTTGTTTGTATTTGTTGTTGCTTATGGCTATTTGTGTGCTCAGATGAAAAATGCCTCTTCAAATTACCACTATGTGAAGCAATCTGTGTGTGTATGCGTGTATGTCACAGAATCACTGAATAAAGTTTGACGGGAGCCTTGCTAACCCTTGTCTTTGTGTGTTCCCAGGCGCTGGCTATGGGCATGATGACTGAATACTACCACTACATCTTCACCACACTGGCAAGTACTCCTCCAGCTCACAATGTATCACACACCACCCAAAATACGCCGACATCTTACTTCCATCTTCATTTTCTCTGCCATTTTCTCCAAGATTTATCAGCTCCCGTATTACATTTTTTCCCCCTTTAATGTTTTTTTTTTTTTTTTTCGCACAGCTTGGAAAATAATGGGGAATTTATATTTTTCGTGTTCGATCTTGCAGTGCCATTTTCGCTGGGATTTAGTTGGGAGCCCTCTCCATCTTGCCTCGCTCTGTCTGTGCTCATTTGCTGACATGCCACTCTTACTTCTCTGGCTTATTCCATTTCTCTTCTTTTCACGTCTAATTTTGTTTTTCTTTTGAGATGGTCTGAAAATGCCTACGCTCTGAATCATATGTTTTATCAGCTGGATTTTTGGGGTGGTGAAATGAAATGACCTATATTCTTACAGCCATCGGTCACGTCTGCTTGGTTCACAGTATTTATTAGCTCATATAAATGTATTATAGCTTTAAATATAGGTTAATACAAGGGGAATACATTATGATTTCTATGACTTTTATAGTCATAACAAAATGTAACCGTGGAAAAATTCATATCACTCTATAAATAGTTTGGTTCTATCAGTTGTTTTCATATGTGTTTTGTCGTGCTCTGTCACGTCCTTAGATCACCATTCTTAGACAGAAAAGAGAAAAAGAGAGAAGCATCCTCACTCAACCCAGATCAGATCTCAGCACAAAGCTTCTTTTAGTTTTTTGTGAGATCAACACAGTATATTGTGGTCTGATACAACATGTTAATATAGTGTAACTTATACAGGACTCTTAAGTTTAGATGAATCTTTATTGTAAACAAGTCAGCTACCCAAGTCAGGTTGTCAGGTATTCTTGATTCTAAAAGCTTGATGCACACTAATATCAGCATTATTTTGGCACAAACTGATTTATTGTATATATTTTGATAGTTGATTTAAGATATTTAGATCAAATGCATAATCCAACCATAAATTATAATATATTTGAAATGTCCCTGTCAACTATTTGTCGTAAAATGTTCTACAAATATGCCAAAGAAAAGATATTCAACATCATGCGGATGAACTCTAAGTTTAGCCTGTGAAATTGCAATGGTGGTGTCTGCGGCGACAGTGAATCGAATATATTTTTATGATACCCGTTTAGCTTCAGAAATTCATTTATCCAATTCATCTGAAGCTGTGTAAATCTTTGCCTTTCTTCTGGCTGTGATAATGTGTGCGACCCAGTGCACACATTTTGTTAAAAACCGTCACCGATATTTGGAAGTAATGACATCCAAATATTATGGCGTAAGATATTCATTTACATAATAATATTACTTTATACAATATTTGTTGAGGAGGCTTACTTTTTTCCCGGCACTTCTTGCTCTTACTTCTATACTTGAAAAAAGTAAGAAGCTAGTTTTGCTGCTAAACTTCCCTGCAGTAGTAGCTTACCACAATTGTATTGTGTCTGAATGAATAAGGTAATAATGATAATGATGCTAATAAATGATAATAAGGAATAAGGTACTTGCATTATTAACTAAACAATCACTAAATCATGCTGCTTTGAAAGGAGAATGTGTGTTATACTTCAAATCCACATGTTCCATTTCTGACTCTGTTAAATCCAATTTCAACAAAGACGTGAACATTTCCTCACCTTTTCTCAGGTCACAATCTCTCCTCCTAGAATCTTTTTTCTCTCTGTAGAGTTTGTGTGTTGTCTGGATCAAAGTCTGTCTCCTCTCCCGTTCCTGTTTTTAAGGCAACCCCTCTGAAATGAAATCCTCCATCACAGCTGATTTCAAACAACCTTGTTGAGGTTTGAAATCAATCGTCTAATCTATTTTAACGTGACTGTGTGGTAGATAAGGACATTTTCCTTTGGTGCTTGATGGAGATGAGGAGTGAGGCTCACGCCAGTCCTAATCAAGTATTTAGAAGAGTCAATATCTAGTCCCCAAAGCCTTTTGTTTTAAGGTGATATCTGTAACTTCAATTATATGACATTGTTTCGTTGTTATATTTAATACTTTTGACCATATGACCCTGTAGTATCATTTCAATTAAGTATTTTATCTGAAAAAGTAACTGACCTTTACTTTCGGGTTCATATAATCTTAGAGGGAAATAAATTGTTTTGTTTTTAGGTGGCTCTGTTTTATCTTATCAAATGGAAACAAGTGCATTACGAGTCTGCTCAAGGACTATTTCTTAAATGTGGTTTGGTCTGCTGTGTAGCCTATGACAGTGTGTATCCTGACTACATCCTGACTACATCCTCAGTCATTGTTATGGACGTGGACGTGAAGTCAGCTCTACAATAGTTGTATTTTAAGTACGTTTTAAGCTATTTTTATTGAATATTTTATTACTGGCTATAAGGCACAGCACATTCTACAGAAGAAGGTTACAGAGGGGCTTCATCAACGTCGCTAAATATACGTTGTAACATTAAATTAGCCTTGAAGTGGCTATCACAGGGCTACCACGAGACAACAAGCCCGTCCAAAGAAATGGAAAAACATAAAGAAACAAATAATCTGGTGCAAGAGCTCAGCCGACTCACCTTAGAACTTCGGGAAAGTGATCGAGCATCAATTTCTTTTCTTAGAAGTGAAGTCCTGCGTCTCACTACCCAGCTGAACAAAAAAGAGGCACTTGTTTCCAAACTCCTGGAGGTCGCTGGTGGTCAACACAAACGAATCCTGTCATTGAGTGCAGCATACTATGACACTCTTGTCTGGGATGGTCCTGCTGGTCCTGGATCCTGTTCAACACCAAAACGCCCGGGTACGGATAATGAGCCCACGGGGTGTGAAGAAGCATCTAGTGCTGTGGTCCAGGTCCTTGGTATTTCAAACCGGTATGCGGCTCTGGCTGCTGACGTCCCGGCACCGCCAGCGGAACCTCCTGGTGCGCAGGTGCCCCGAGAACAAGAGTCCACAGCTGACCCCCAGCCCCCGGGGAATGCAAAGTGCTCGGCGCCCAAGAGTGAACAAGTACTCCCCGTAAAACTTTCACTCGCCGCACAACGTCCACGCAAGAAATCATCCGCCAGAAAGAGGCTCCTAAAGGATGCTGTGCTCAGGCGACACAGTGGTCCAGTTGAGCCCTATCCATGGACCCCACAGTGGCCTGAGAGTGGAGCGCCGAGTCCACGCACTTCAGCCTCTCTTGCTCCTGTCCCCCTGGTCACACAGCAGCCAAATCACGAAACGTCGCCTCAACCGGGACACCCTTCCCCGTTTGCTTAAAAGCCGTGCACTGGTCCGAGTCATCCTGCCGTCTCCACTTCACGGGGCGCTCACGGAGAGCAGCCCAGAGCAGAGAGCCAACGCGCCCCTTCCTCCCTGCGCGATCAGCTGCGCTGTGGGCCAGGTCCAGTGGATACGCCCTCTCCGCGTCCACTCTTTCCGCAGACAACTTTAATAATTGGAGATTCCATAATAAGGCATGTTCGTTATTTCAATGCAGTAACGCATTGTATCCCGGGTGCCACTGTGCCAGACTTGTTGATACGGCTCCCCTCGCTGCTGAAGTCCATGCCCGACACAATTTCCAGGGTTATTGTGCACGTTGGAATAAACGACGTGAAGATGCAGCATTCTGAAGTGACAAAGAAGCACTTTACGGATCTTTTCCAACTTCTACGCCTATCTGGTCTATCGGTCTTCATCTCTGGTCCAATCCCGACAGTGAACAGGGGCGACTGCTTCTACAGCCGCGTTCTGGCGCTGAACCAATGGCTGCAGTCTGTGTGTAGCTCTTTCGGCGCGGTCTTTGTTGACAATTTTGGCCTTTTTTGGAGACGCCACATTGCTTATCGCCCTGATGGTCTGCACCCAAACAAGTTTGGCACACGTTTGTTGGTGGACTATCTGTGTCACGTGGTACAGTGGACTGTGAGATCATGCGTGTGACTGGCTGCGTCACCGCCTCCACCGCTGCCTTCCACCGCTCCACTGTCAGCACCGTGTGAGTACAGCAGCGTGAACACTGGCCCCTATCCCCTGTTTCGTGTTATTCCCGTCTCTCCTTTACACTCTTCCACTCTGAACCACCCTCACGTAATCATAAGACCCAAGCAAGATCGCAAAAAAACTCAAAAGTCAGATCAAAGGAACTTAATTCATATTCCCTGTACAAATGCTTCCAGTTCTGCTGAAACCATACTGAATCAGATCCCTTGGCAACAAATCATTTTTAATTAACGATTTTATCTCTTCTCATAACCTCGATTTTATGTTTTTAACTGAAACATGGCTTGATAAAAACACTGGTAATGCTGTTCTACTAGAAACAGCCCCTCCCACCTACACATTTGAATATGAAGCACGAGAGAATAAAAAAGGTGGAGGCGTGTGTGCTCTATTTAGGGACAGCATGGTTACCCATAGACTGACATTTGGGAACTTTGCCTCCTTTGAATATGTGTCGTTCAAAGTTGAGATGAATAAATCCCCATCCATACTCGTCGTCATTATCTACAAGCCTCCCCAACACGGTCAACATTTTATTGAGGATTTTACAGAATTTTTATCAGTTGTATGTATTGATTTTGATTCACTGATAATTACTGGTGATTTTAATGTTCATGTGGATATGGCTGAAAACAAAGATACAAAAGAGCTCAGCTCTGTTCTTGAAACCTTTGGTCTGGCCCAGCACGTGCGAGCCTCAACGCACAATAGAGGCCACACTCGACCTTCTAATAACGAAGGGAGTTAACATCACAAATGTTAAAGTGGTCGATATTGCTTTGTCCGATCATTACTGTGTCTTTTTTAACCTGTCAGTCATTCCTAAACCACCCACTCAACCTACAGTTCTGAGGCGAAGACACATAGTGGATGGAACAGACGCTCTTTTTATGGAAAGAATCAAGTTCGAAATTGCCCCATGCTCTACTGTAGATGACTTATTAAACACTGTAACTCATGCCATTTCAAATGTAATGAATGCCATCGCCCCCATAAAAACCAAGAAAACTAAAAGTGTACAAAAAGCACCCTGGAGGTATGATGACCTTGTCAGAGAAAAGAAGAGAGAGTGCCGCAGGGCAGAGCGGAAATGGCGCAAGTTTAAACTCCATGTCCATTATGAAATGTTTAAATTAAAGCAGCATGAGTACAACAGTATTTTAAGTACTACAAGAGAACGGTATTTCACCCAGACCATTGAAAACTCTAGAAATAACTCCCATGCCCTTTTTGCAACCGTGAACAGATTAACACACCCCCCATCACAGTTGCCTCTTGAGTTTATTTCCACATTTAAGTGCAATGAGTTTGCTGTATTTTTCAATGAAAAGGTTCAATCCATTAAAAGAGCGATAAATCCCACATCACAAATTTCTACACAAACAACTGCAGTTTCTGAGCTGTCCTTTTTTTCACCTGTCACTGAAAAATTGGTCAAAGAAATTGTTTTAAAATTGAAATCGTGCACTTGCTGCCTTGACGTGTTGCCCACTAGATTTTTAAAACTTGTTCTTAACAGTTTGTTGCCTTCACTCACTGCAATAGTGAACGCATCTCTTCAGTCAGGAACCTTCCCTGGTCCTCTGAAAACTGCAGTGATCAGGCCTCTCTTAAAGAAGAGCAGTCTTGATCCTGCAGTGCTCAGCAATTACAGACCCATTTCAAATTTGCCTTTCTTAGGGAAGGTGTTGGAAAAGGCCGTTTACCTGCAGCTAAACAATTTCCTGCTGCTGAATAATGTTTTTGACCTGTTTCAATCAGGTTTCAGGCCCCACCACAGCACAGAGACTGCCCTGATAAAAGTTTCCAACGACATCCGCGTCAACAGTGACTTAGGCAAAGCCACAGTGTTGGTCCTGTTGGATCTCAGTGCAGCCTTTGACACTGTTGATCACGAGATCCTCCTGCAGAGACTTGAGGGATGGGTTGGCATCACTGGCACTGCCTTAAGTTGGTGCAAGTCCTACTTAGAGGACAGACAGTACTTTGTTGAGATTGGGGACTGTGTCTCAGACCAGGTGGCCTTAACAAGTGGAGTGCCCCAAGGTTCAATTCTGGGCCCCCTTCTTTTTAATATTTATATGTTGCCACTAGGTCAATTGATTCGAGGCCAAAATGTATCCTATCACAATTATGCAGATGATACGCAGATTTATGTCTCACTGGCTGCGGGTGAACTTGGGCCAATTGAGTCACTCTGTCACTGCATCAAACAGATTGACTCATGGATGCAAAATAACTTTCTTCAGTTAAATTCAAACAAAACTGAAGTTATTGTGTTTGGCCCACAGAAACTCAGAGAAAGTGTGTGCAGCCTTCTCCAATCCTTTTCTCTGTCTCCAAATTACAAAAATCAGGTTAGAAATCTAGGAGTAATCATGGACTCGGACCTCAATTTCAATAGTCACATTAAATCTGTAACTTCAGCGGCTTTCTACCATCTAAAGAACATTTCTAGAATTAGGGGCATAATGTCTAAGGCAGACTTAGAGATTGTCATTCATGCTTTTGTTTCTAGTAGGTTAGACTACTGCAACGGCCTTCTCTCTGGTCTGTCCAAAGGAGCTGTAAAGCAGCTACAGTATATTCAAAATGCTGCAGCTCAAGTCCTGACAGGAACCAGGAAGTACGACCACATTAGTCCAGTCCTCAGGTCTCTGCACTGGCTTCCTGTGGCTCAAAGAATAGATTTTAAATCAGCTCTCCTTGTATATAAGTCTCTCTGTGGTCTCGCACCAAAATACATATGCAACATGCTGGTACCGTACGAGCCCGCTCGAACTCTGAGGAGCGCGGGGACTGGCCTCCTGTTGGTGCCCAGAGTCGGGACTAGACATGGGGAGGCAGCGTTCCAGACCTATGCACCTAGAATCTGGAACAGTCTTCCCGAAGGTGTGAGACAGGCTCCCTCTTTAGCTATGTTCAAGTCCAGGCTGAAAACGGTTCTTTTCAGCCGTGCCTACGACTGATCATCAAGAAATCATATCATAAATTTATTTTTGATGTATATATTTATTCATTTTCTTAAACTGTCTTTTGTATTTGTTTTTACAGTCTGTTTTTAAATTGTTTATAAATTGCTTTTAAATGTTGCCGATGTGAAGCACTTTGGGTTGCATTCTGTATGAACTGCGCTATAGAAATAAACATTGATTGATTGATTGATTGATTGATTGATCCTGATTACATATTTCAACATGAGAAATGATAAAATATTGATTCAAAACATAGATACATACATTCCCCCAGGATGCATGCCAGTGTTACATCACATTACGAGAACTGTTGAAAAATAGAAAACTCAGAGGGTAAAGGGGACTAGTGTGGACTTACAATACTATCATTACAAACTCGAATCAATTTTTCATACCAAATGTTTAAAAAAAAATACAGTGATGATATATTTTTTTGGATATTGGATTAGATTTTTTATATAAATAACATGTTTTCAATGGTACTACAAGGTTTTATACTAGTTCTGAGGTAAAGATTCAAAACAGCTGATTTTTGATACCATTGATAAATCTAAATGAAGTTGAAAAATTATGATTAACATGGTATAAATGTCAAAAAAGTCTGTGAACTAGGCTGTTTACAGTCTAGGCAATGTCGGCTTGAGAAAATCTTCATTAATTTTTGGGGAGTGCATGGAGGTTCAGCTCAGGACATTTGGACTCTTGCAGACTGTGACCGCTGGAAAAACTTCAAGACGTTTACTATCGCCCCGTTCAAAGGACACACAGAGGACACTCTTAAAATGCTGTTTTTTTTTTTATTGGTGACGTCAAACCAGGCCTCTGCTGCAAATGTCATAGAGAAGGACGGAGCATAGACCGAGAGAAAGAGAGACGAGGGTTCTCTTAAGTTTACGAAGCTTGGAGCCAAATGGAAACATGCCAATGTCTGGATGAGGTCAAAATCTGTCTGGACACTCAGCTGCCTCTTCATCACCACCGACAGCCAATCACATGACTTCAGAAAGATGAAATATAGGAAGTAATCCAGGTCTATTATCAAAGTGTTGCTATAACATTGTTTACTCGTTATTATCTTTTACATACTGTATGTTGGAATAAAGTCAAGAAATCTGGTTCACTTGCCATCTATCCCTGCTCCTTTCTTTGTTCATGAATCCACTTCCATTTGTCAACATTTACAACACGTTATGTAAATGCTGGCCACAATGACGTGCAAAGGAGATGTGGCTTAAGCAGATTAGAACATAAACTTGTTTCTATGATTAGGATGAATATTGCCACATGAAGTCAACAAGTTGGACAATAGCAATCTCTAAGTGGTTTAGTTTAAAGAGGATGTACTGTACTGCTATGTATATTTGTATTTATTAGCTTTTGATCATATAGGCAAGGCAAGGCAAGTTTATTTGTATAGCACAATTCATACACAAGGCAATTCAAAGTGCTGAACAAGATAGCATTAAAATCATAAATAATCACAGAACATTAAAAAGAAAGATAAAAATATAAAATCCCTCAGTTGTATGCACAGCTAAACAGAACTGTTTTTAACCTGGTTTTAAACATTGTCAGAGAGGAGGCCTGTCTCACATCTTCAGGAAGATTGTTCCAGATTTTAGCAGCATGAATCTGAAAAGCAGCCTCCCCATGTTTAGTTCTGACTCTGGGCACTAACAGGAGTCCAGTCCCTGTGCTCCTCAGAGTCCGGGCTGGTTCATTTGGGACTAACATGTCACTAATATATTTTGGTGCGAGGCCATGGAGAGACGTGTACACAAGCAGAGCTGTTTTAAAGTCTATTCTCTGAGCGACAGGAAGTCAGGAATAGACTAGAATTGTCATACATTTTCCTAAAAGTTCATTAATTGATTCATGCACTATTCCTGGAACTTCAACTCTGATTATTGATGTTGGGCTAAAATGTACAGCAGGGCCCTATTTCAATACATGCTTGTGTCGCTTTTGCAGGACCTGTTTGCTCTGGATGTGGAGCCTTATCGTTTCAGCGGAGTGAACATGACCGGCTTTAGAATCCTGAACACAGAGAACAGCCTGGTCACCTCCATCATAGAGAAGTGGTCTATGGAGAGACTTCAGGCCCCGCCCAAACCTGAATCTGGACTACTGGATGGATTCATGACTGTGAGTGCACCCTGTCAGTCAATATTTTGCATGAATGAGGGATGGATGTAGCTTTGAGCGTTTTTACCGCATTTGCTGATTACAACCTGGGCACATAACTAACTTGGTCTTGGGGGAAAAAAAAAGTGAAACGATTGATGGCCGTGATGCATATAAGGATGCAAGTGGTAGCGTTTTGAACACGTTTAAATGTATTGCGCCATGTTTCGGAAAGTACTAAGCCGTGGTGAAGGTGAAGGAAAAGGTACAATTGATGATGACACTCTGACTCTTACTTGAGCGGACAGGGAGATGGAAGTGCCGTCGATGGTAATAGATACATTATTGATCTGGTTCCTAGTTTATATGGTGCCAATAAGGAGGAGTTCCATTGCATTTGCATTTATTTGCATATATACGTTTGAGACGGGCAAAGATTTTATTTCATGAAGGCAGTTGATTAAGAAGGAGCGTGGCTTGCAAGAGGGGCCGCACATTGTTTGTAGTGTTTGAGAACGATCTGAGGTAGAAGAGAGACATTTATTTTTGTTTTTTTTAAACTGCTGCGGGCCAAGCACAGAACCCTGGGGAACACACGTGATGGATGGTGAAAGATTTAAGGTGAAAAGCTTCATGCTGATATTCTGTTTAAGTGTCAAATTGGAGTCTGTAGAAAGGATAAGGACTTTAGCATTATTAAGAAAGCACTATGTAGTACCAGTGTCATCAAGACAGGCGGGAAATGTTCATAAAGGTTATTGGAAGACTTAGTAGAGTGGAGGTGAAGAGAAACCGTTTTGTCAAGGATCTTTGAGATGAATGGAAGGTTTTAGATGGGACAAGAATTAGTACTTCAATAAAAGCAGTGGATTTTAGAGGAGAGAGAACAGTGTCAGGGGGAGGCATGGGTGATGTGAGTGATGAGAAAGATTTTAGACAAGGTGCTGGGAGTGGGTTGAGTTTACATAAAGAGGTTTTGGAGTGGTTTGAGTAGAGGGGGGGTTCGTTCTCTTTTGAATTATCCGGATCTTTGTAGTGCAAAATGTGTTAGCAAAATCTGAATAGAGATGAGATGGAAGTGAGTCAGCTGAGTCAGAGTGTGAAGACGGGGTTTTGCCAAGTCCTTCTAAAATCATGAATGTACTATGCTATGTTGACTCAATACCACATTTCGTAATTTCTATTCTAAACTATTATTTTGCCGGAAACTTTATGAACAGCAAACATACATAATAAATATGTAATACATTTTTCAAGATATGCACAAGATTAAGGCTAATAAGCATAACAGATAATACTATTGTGTATTGTATATTATTTTTCAACACTGGAAGTACTACCGTTAAATGTGAGCTGTGTTAGTGCTCCTGTCAGTCAACATAATGCTTGCATGGGAGATTTATGTCACGACTTGAACTGTTTTTTGCTCATGTTTTTTTTTCTGAATAAGCCTGGGGCACAATAAAACTAATGTCTTTAATTGCAAAGGTTGTTAACGCCCGTGCTTCAGTGGTCTACTAGGCAGCTTCATAAGTGTGAGTGCTCCTTGTCAATCAATTCCAGGTATGAATGAGATATGTTAGGATTGAAACTGATGTGGTCACATAAAGGTCCTGATTCAGCACACAGTTGTGAGATAGGCTGCACTCGACGGCATGCTGTCGACTTAAAAGGACTATATTGGTTAACACACTACAAGCCGGACATATTTTATTCTCCATGTTGCTTCATGCTGTCCGAAGCAAATAAACATATTATTTGTACAATCATAGCGTATAAAAGTACAGCTGCTTTTTTTAAACACAACATGTACTTAATAATAAAATATCTTATGGATAAAACATATAAACCATATGATTTTCAAACATGATGATCCAGGACACTCAACATTTAACAAAAATCATGGACATTCCTGGGTTCAAATCCTGGTCGGAACAGAGCCTTTCTGAGTGGAGTTTGCATGTTCTCCTTGTGTCTGCGTAGGTTTCCTCCGGGTGCTCCGGTTTCCCCTACCACTAAAAACATAGGTATGAATGTAAATGAGAGAGTGAATGGATGGTGTTGATTGGGGCTGATGGTCCAGTGTGTTCGGCGACTCGCTTCCGTCAACACCGTGTGTGGAATGATTGGAACAATATCTGAACTCTGAACATTGTAAAGCGCTTTGGGGGACCTTGGTCTGTAAAATGCGATATATAAATAAACATTACTTACTTACTTATTTACATTTATCAACACTTATGGACAATGGTCATCTGCCCTTTATGGACCAATACCAATGTGTTTTCTATTCTATTTCTTGTGTTTGAACGGTTTGGTTCTCTGATCTGTGTTGGCAAATTCAACGGTTGGGTAAAGTCCTCCGAGATGACTATTATTGTGATTCAGGGTTTTCAAGAATTAATTGAATTGAATTGAATAAAACTCTATGAAGTCTTCCAACAACTGAACTGTTATTTTGTTTCAGATAATATTTCAACCTGATTGTTAACAATGATGACTACATATCTGTAATTTGGCTGATCCAGTTTTAATATAATGGGCTGACTGATGTTAGTGTAAAAATAGATTTTCACTTAACCCTGTACTTTGCATTTGTGAAACAATTTAGACAATAAAGGTCCAAACGAAAAACTAAAAAAAGGATACTTTCTGTATTCCATAAAATGTACACCAGCATATAAAGAAATCTTGCATCAATCTTGTGTATTCCTAAATCCAGATGACCCTATACAAACTACTCATTATTATTACTAATTCAGGGAGTTACACCTGTAAAAGCACTTGGACGTATGAATCACAAGTGTCTACATTTGAAATGCAGAATTATGTTGTTCACTGGGGGCATACTCATAAAAATATATAATAATATAAGAATCACTACAATGCCTAAGCCAGAACTACAGCAGTCATACTGTGCACGACCTTCGCCTGGAGTGTCTCCTCCTACTCGATTTGCTAATAGCTGTCGTCAGATAAATTTGCAAAGCACTCTCTGCATAATATTAGCTCTTCCACAGTTCCTCCACTTTGCCAGCTCGCCACTTCTCACAGTCAGAAAGTTGCCGCGTTGATAAAAGCATTGTCCTGGACACGATGAACTTGTTAAAAATGGGGTGACTGGGGCTGGCGCTAGATCTCACATTACCATCCAAGCTCCTTCTTAGTCCGGGATAAAAAAAACTATACTCCCTGCAGTGAACCCGGGACTACGATAAGACGCTTCCTTGTCACTCGGATCAAAAATCTTTAATAAACGCTTTGCTTCTTGCTGCGTTTTCTTATCGGGGCTCGCTGCCAAAAATGTCAACCCACACGAGACATCTACAAGAAGGCAAGCAGGCTGGCTGGTGAGATGGGGGTTGGAGGGTGGGTGGTTTCGCTTTGCTTCACTGAAAAATATCCCAATCCCTTATGTTGTTGTATTCCCACAGCTATTGAGGTGTTAAACGCAAGGCCCATGTAGCTAGGTTTTGGTTGCGGTCCAATTGGAAAGCAGACATGTACGCTCTTGATTGAAAACGGTGGACGCAACACTGCACTTTTTCTATTTCTTTATGTGCCAACCGTTTTTGCTGAATCATGTAGCGAGGATTGATAGCGAGTGGGTGTTACTCAGCTTAAGCCTCTTTTGTTGGATTTGTGGCCTCGATCAATAGGTTTTTTTTTTCCCACTGGAGACTTGAAATGGACTCTAGTCTAGAGTGCAACACAAATGTCCCAGTGGCCGGCAAGTACATTTGATGTCTTGGTAGCAAAAAAAAGTCAAGTTCAGCCACTGTGATGGTGTCTAAGGACATTTTGCATTGTCAACACGGTTAGATTTGTAATGCGTATACTTGTTGGATGGTCTGCTTAACACCATGCCTTTGGTTTAGCTCACACGTCTTGTTCAGGACTCCCTTGAAAAAGGGGTTCTTAATCACAATGGGACTTTCCTGGCAATAAAAAGGTTAAACTTAAACAAGCAGTACAAAGTCATTGACCACGCCCAAGCACACATTTTTTGATTTAATTGTTTTCTCATGTGTAGAAGCAAAAGTAGGTCTGGTCGAACAGTATTACCAAAACCTGAACCCTTAGTTTGAATATACTTTAAAACGATTACAAAACACATTTTGCTAATTTCCTGTGACTATTCAACAACTCATTGACCTCTAAAATCAGTTTGTATACACTCAACATTGAGAATAATTATGACATTGGTTTGCATTACAGCGCAATACAGGTTTGGGTCATTTATTACCAAAACCAGACTAATTTTCAAACTTCAATCAGAATCAGAATTATTGGGTTACGTACAGGCCTTGCAGTGATGAAAGGCTGCAGCCGATCACCCTCTCAGCAGAGACATGTGCTGTAGTCTCTGCTTGTCCCTGACTGTGGCTCCAGCGAACCACAGGGCGATGGAAGAGGTGAGGATTGACTCGATGATGGCCGTGTAGAACTGCACCAACATCTGTGCAGGCAGCTTGGCTTTCCTGAACTGCTGCAGGAAGTACATCCTCTGCTGGGCCTTCTTGATGAGGGAGCTGATGGTCGGCTCCCACCAGAGGTCCTGGGTGATGCTTGAGCCAAGGTGTCCGACAGGGAGGGGACCACTGCTCCTGAGAGGCCGTAGTATCATTGAAGGATGGGTAAATGCAAATGAGGACAAAGTTCCCCTAACTTAAACTTAACTTAAATGAAATACACACATTCAAAACATCTTTGGAAATCATTTTTATAAAACTGCTTCCAAGAAAAGCTTCCTCCTTGCGGTTTGCTCCTGTCAGTTAGCGGACAGTGGTGGCGATTGTACCCAGCATGGATCCAGGTGCATCCCTGTCTCTGCTCCTGTTCCAAACCAGCGCTGAGTGACAAACCGTTTAGTCGCGCTCGGCTCCAGCACGTGTAATCTCCACTTCACACACGATAAGCCAGCTAGCCGCGTTAGCTCCTGACAGCTACATGACTCGCAATGTGTAAGTCGCTACAATGGCAGCCGCACAATGCAACCTAACAAGCTGAAGAAGAAGGGAAGGAGCCTGATGTGTTGACAAACTATCTCCTAAATAAAAGCTCGACATCTACAACATGGAGCAGCGGAAACCAGCAACAATTTGACAGACTTTCATTCTGTGTGGTGTGGAAATGTGACAGCGGGAGATGTCCGTGATTGGCAATATAGTGGAGCCACGTCTGGGTTTGGAAGCAAAGGATTAAGATGTTTCATGATACATGTCTGAATAAATGTGCATTGATGGACATTTAATAGCATTTATGGAAATTGGTCATCCTGCTACCGCATGGATCAATGGCTCCTACAGTATGTTTATTATTTCCCGTGTTTGAACTCTTTGATTCTCTGATGAGGAGTTGGCAAATCGACAACTTTGTAAAGTTCTCTAAGACGGCTATACAGAGATAAATTTAATTGAATGTCTACCAACTACCACTTTTTTTTTTTCTCTTTGAGCCTATCCATGAAACAAAACATGGCATGGCACTACATTAATTTTAATTGATTGAGCTTTATTTAGCAAGAAAGACATTTCAGTCTCTTTTTTTCAAGGGAAAGAATTATTGGGCTATTGCACATGTTTTCAGAAAGCCCATGTGCTGACCAGGGTTTTTTCTGGGAAAAGGGATTTTAGCCACCAAGTTATTGAAGAAAACTAAATACATACGTGAAAATCATGCATAGAATGTTTTTTGTCCTATGACCAAAAAGCATCCTAATAAGGTATCACATTTTCGTTTATTTTACCACAATGATGGCATGTCCTGGATAAGGCCCAAATATAAAAAAAATATCATACCTATTAGATAAAAAGTTGCTCACAAGATTAAACTTATGATGAAATAGATAGGAAGTCAAGCTAAAGTTGATAATTTGTTCAATTCAATTCAACTTATTTTTTGAGTGACACAAAGTTATCGCCCCCTCGCCTCTTTTCCATGGTCCAATCTCCGACAACAATTGCAACATATTACTTAATACGTGTGCGTGTCGAGCCTTCATTTTTGAACATTTTTGTCGTCACGCTCCTCTACAGCTGTCTGCATCAACAAGACATTTTTGAAGTCTCTGTAACCATACATTGAAATCCTTTTGGATCAAGATTATCAACGATATCTGTCAAAGAAGGAAATGGTTTTCAGCCCGCAGCGGTGCATTTGAATGTGCCCACAGGTACTGCAAATTTATGGTAATAGGGTTCAGCATGCAAAGATGGCTCAGAATACTAAACATGTTTTGCATCTGGCAACAAACAAAAAACGCGACCTTGATGTCTGAGAGGTCAGCTTGTTTATTCGGCCGAGGTAAAAAATTTGACCCAGTGATAAATTAAAAAATTATGCCTCATAGAAGATATTTTTTTTCTCGTTTCGTTTTAATTTGCCTCCCGAAGTAATATACGAAGCAACAAACAAAAGCAATTAACATAGAGGGACGTTTAGGTGCACTTGTAAGGTCGTCGGCGTGAATGTGGTAAGGCCAGGGGAAGCAGTGAACGCGCATTAATTGAAGTGAAGGATTGGAGCGGAATGGGTTTGCCGGATCTGTCAGTGCGGACATATGTGCAGACACAGACAAAGGGAACTGTGTTTAAGTGTCTTTGATGCAGTGAAGGGCAGAATAGATTGAGCCTGCGCTGCCGCCTCTTGATAATGCAAAGAATAGGAGAAAATGTGTCCCCTAGATGCATAGGCCTATTTAAAGTGTATAATCGAAATGTACAAGTCATTGGTTAGCCCCATAAAATGTATCGGATTGTGCCAGTCAATTATTTTCATTCACAAGCTCGATCAAAACCCAGTGGCTTTTTTATGTGGAATGTGTGTCAGGCAGTTTTTTAGCACAAGCCTCTCCATAACATCTTCATGGCTTTTACCCACAGAGTGCCCGGGTTTGGCCTGAGCCAGTAAAGCTCAGAGCGGCGTGTAAAGCACACACACTAAACTAAACCATTAATCAGAAGTGTACAGAGCCTTCAGTGTGTCGATATGCATTAGGTTCTGACTGATGCTCGTTTGACCAGTGAATCCATTTCACCTCTTGGAAGCACGGCACGCGTAAATCTGCATCTCTCAACGGGACAAATATAACTCAGGGGAAGCATAAAGGGTAAGGATGCACCAAGGCAAAGAGGGAGAAGTCTGAGGTTCAGTTCCCAGACTGTGGTGTCCCCTGCGTCTGTTCTCAAGTGCTTCTCATCAGTCATCATTTTACCAGCATGATTCAGGCAAACATTTGAAAATACATGATAAATGCAGCAGGCCTACTTATGACCACAAAAATGATTGGTCGATTAAAGCCACTTCTGGTAAAAGCCGCACTCTCGAGTCATTGTTTTAGTGACTTGCGATTGAGAAGAATAACTGTGTCTGGGTGGTTGTTTGCGCTCTTATTTCTTTTTCTATCTATGACCCGCACTTCTTAAGAAGACAGGAGCCAGATCTCCACTTGGGACTGAAAACAAACAAGACGTTTCTCTTCACTCTGGTGATAGCTCCACCATTTATCTGATCCAAGATGCAGACTGCAGCAGTAGGATATATCAACATAACTACTACACTAAAAAGAGCATTTAGATGGGTAAGAATTCCCACATTTTGTCTTCTCCCACCCACAAACATAGTTTGTATTCTCTTTTTGTAATCTCATATTGTCTGCAACTTGAAGAAAAATGCATGAATAGAAACAACACACAATTTAATTTTTTGCAAGTGGGGCTTGCAAATGTATTCACCGTTTCTCTGAGTGAAACCATTTTCCTTCAGAAATTTCCTGATGACTGATGAAATCTCAAATGTTGACCTAACTATTGTGTTTTACACCAAAGTCTGGCCTTGTATCACAGAGGTTGAATAATTTTCTAGTCCTCTCTTTGTAAAATAGTCATGCATCATTGAAGTTTTTATATTCATTTGTTTGAATACTTTGTCAAGCCACTGTATATGCACTTGCTATATGCCAGACTCACTCACTCGTCAGATAAAACATTTGTCTTGGAAATAATTTCTAACTATTTTGTTGGTGCATTTTTTAAGATAATACAGAATCTTCAGACGAAAGAATAAAATGCATTTTCATTGTGTGCATTTAGCCAAAAGGCTTTTTTTTAAAAGTACTTTTACAAAGAGTCTTTAGGCTCATATTTTAGTACAGCTCCAGTTAGCTCGACACGTTGGAGCACCGCTGCTCTTTAATTGCCCACAATGCACCTCTCCAGGGCCTACGCCGCCCCTTTAGAAGCTGCTCCCAGGACACTTGTCTAATTGGAGCAGTTTTGGTCCGATAATCCTGTCCCCTCCTCAAAGTCCTTAGATTAAAACACTGCAGTGAGCTCTGGGACTTTATGCGTGGATATTTTCTATTAAGTCCTCTGTATTAATTTAGCAAATGTAGCAAAACACAATTAACCTCGTCCACCTCGCTGTGCATGGAAAAGTAATCCGCCAAACTAAGCCGAGTTAGACTTAACGAAAAGCGCTCACTATCAGATGAACTGGGGTGACTTTTTGAATTTTAAGCAGGATCATATTTCAGAAGAAAAAAGCATCAGTGTGTCTGGATGGTATCTAATAACATCTTGACAATATTGATTTGGTTCCTTAGCAAGAAGTGTATTTGCTTCTTCTACTCTACATAGTTTAAATCTATAGAAATTGGCGTCCCTTTCCTTAATCTTAAAACGCAATCGTCGCCTGATAAAAGCAATGCGTATTTGCTACAATTTGGACAATTTCAACTTGCTACTGAGCTGATTTCAAGGAACAGTCTCTTCACTGTCGATCTTGAAAGCAAATATTAGCTTACATCACACATTGCACCCTTTTCTATGTGGAGCGTTCTCTCTTCACACACTGTGGCTGGTTCAGACTTTCAAGAGCCTGGAGCTTTTCTTTTCATAAGGAGAAGGAAAAACAGAGCAGAGGAGTTTTACAGGCACAGAAAGAGCTGCTGTCGGGTTCCTCAGAGCTCTGCACCACAGATCTCGCATCAAACGCTCCGAGGGCCACCAGCCCGACCATGCAGTTGTGACTGAATGACATTTTTATTTATGTATCTATACTTATTCAGGGAGAGAAGGGGGGGGGGGGGGCTCAAAGAGAGTACCAGATATATAAAGTGATTGATATAGATACAGTACTTAAGCACAGTAATACCTGCATGACATGATTGAACTTTTACATTTTACTGGGATAAATTAAAGACATTTTTACGTTACATTCACCAGCTAAAGGTGCACTTAGAATCATTCATGTATGTTTTAGAAATCTATATTATTCTGATTCCATTACTTCATTACTTTGGCGATCTCCACATGCCACAAACCTACTCATCTTTACTTTCTTTTCTAATCTCACGTTACACTTTAGCAGCGCTCTAAATTTTTGGCACAAACGCTAATATATGATAATATATAACAGTGGCGACTCTGAGTCTGAATGTGTCTGAACAACATTTAATGTGTTTTAATAGTTTGTAAGTAGGGCTAAATAACATCTGAATTTAATGTAAATGACTAACTTTGACAGTAGTGACCAAAATGTACATTTGAAGGATGAGTGAAATAGTCAGCGTTAAAGGCTTAAAGTCCTCCAACAGATTTTGTGTATATGTTTAAGGTAAATTTAAAGGTAAAGGTGCACCTTATTGATCCCCGTAGGGCAATTCATCCTCTGCATTTGACCCATACTGATGCCACTAAGGCGTACATCAGGAACAGTGGTCGCCGTAGTAACAGCGCCCGGGAACCCATCTCCAGATGTTGATGCTCGGCTTGGTCAGGACTACCGAAGCTGGAGGAATTAATCTAATGTGCATGTTTTTAGTTTACAATGAGTACAAGCTTTTCCTCACGTTCTCACATATTCAATTACTAATATTCACAATTTGTTAGGATCCCAGAGTGCAGCTGGCCATCAATCTCTTTCTGAACAAAGAAATGCCCGATAACTGTAACAGTGTAAGTCCATATAACATCAAAGCTATCTGCACTTGATCATAACAAAAACTGGCTGTAACAGGATACAACACAAGATACAAAATACACATTGTTTTTTTCACCCTTTAGCTCACCCAATAGTCTTCTCTCTTTTCTCTGCAAACTCTCATCTTTTCTCTTCTCTCATTATCTTCTCTCCGGGATCAAACTCATCAGATCAGTTTGTGCACGGACCGGATCACGCCGCGCTGCGTTCTGCCGGTTCAGCACTGTGGTTTGTCCAGATTGGCATGACTTCAATTAGCAAATAGATCCACTTAAAGACCTCATTTCAGACAGTTTGAGTCAGGGCTGGTCAGTCGTCTGTTATTATTTTTGTCACTTTTTGTCACATGCTTTAAAAATGTTGGATTCTTAGTACTTAAAGTAGTACTAGAATTTAATATGCTGCTATCCAGAACATATAACTACAATATGTGTTTATAATATTTCGGGTGTTCATTTTGACATTTTCAGATGAATTATGTTAAAAAAACGGCTTTGAAGTAGCACTTTTTCACGTCCGCATAGAAACGCTAGGGGGGGCAAAATGGCGGCGATGACGTAGGAGAAGGACCTCTCACAGCAGCAGCAGCAGTCTGGGCTGAATCTGTAGGAGGTTTCACTGTCATCTGAACAAGGTATAAACATATTTTCATCCGTTTTGTACATAATAGTGTGCAACTCTTTTAACCTTTTAGCCTTATTTGTGAGATTCAAGCTAATTAGTGTTGGGCAAGTTAGCTAACTCTACTTGATATCATAAAACATGCTAACAAGGCTAATATTCGTTTTTACATTATGCCAGTCTCACTTTGGTTGCCTTAGATTTATTTACCACAATGTACATTGTAATATTCATAAATGCTAACACCTATTAACGGTTTAATACGGAGCCCTGCAAGGGCCAGGGGTAAAAAAATAAATAAACTGTGCGCACAGATTGTTAAACTGTGCGCACAGATTACTAAACTGTGCGCACAGATTACTAAACTGTGCGCACAGATTGTTAAACTGTGCGCACAGATTGTTAAACTGTGCGCACAGATTACTAAACTGTGCGCACAGATTACTAAACTGTGCGCACAGATTACTAAACTGTGCGCACAGATTATTAAACTGTGCGCACAGATTGTTAAACTGTGCGCACAGATTATTAAACTGTGCGCACAGATTGTTAAACTGTGCGCACAGATTACTAAACTGTGCGCACAGATTACTAAACTGTGCGCACAGATTACTAAACTGTGCGCACAGATTACTAAACTGTGCGCACAGATTACTAAACTGTGCGCACAGATTATTAAACTGTGCGCACAGATTACTAAACTGTGCGCACAGATTACTAAACTGTGCGCACAGATTACTAAACTGTGCGCACAGATTATTAAACTGTGCGCACAGATTGTTGAACCGTGCCCACAAATGCGTCAGATGAGATGTCACTTCCGGCGCCGCGTCATACCCGGTCTACTGCTACGTTAATATAATAGATCCATGACTACTACTGATTACAGAGACTATTTTTGTTGTATCGTGTTTTTAGTGTGAGATGACGTCGAAAGTTTCAACGTTTACTTTTCAACGGAGACAGGACAGTACGTCTGGTTATCACTGCTGTGTTCCACGATGCTCAAATTCGGCCAGATTTAACTCTGCTTTAAGTTTTTTCACATTCCCTGGAGATGCTTTACTGCGAAAAAAGTGGATCGTGAAAATAAGAAGGGACCAGTTTAAGGTTACGTCAAACACACGGGTCTATTCTCGCCACTTTGAGGCTGAAGATATGATCCAGCCCACCACCCCAAAAGGACGTCGTATGTTGAGGAAAGGTGCTGTCCCGCTGCTTTTTGACTGGACCGGGTATAGCCTCCCTGCTCCACGACCCGGTGTTTGGGAGCGAACGGAGCGGCCAAATCCTCCCCGTTTAGACCCTGAAGAGGATCCAGAGTTGGGGGTGGCCTGCTCTGACCACGACTACTGCTCCACCACTTCTGAACCAGCTGCTCTGGATTTAGCCCTGAGCAAAGCAGCGGAGTCCCAGGCTCAAGTAGAGGCGCTCCAGAGAAGGGTCGAAGAAATGACCATCAGTTGCAGGTTCGGTCTGCAACGCTTTGCTGGCTCTGATGAAGACATCAGGTTGTACACGAGGTAAGCTAGAAAGCTTTGAAAAATCCAAAATGTAATAATTATTAGCATTGTAAAACAGCAAGTATAGAATACTGTATGGTGAATGTATGGTAAAATACTGTATATAGTGCAAGAAATATGTTGTCATTTGATATTGTATATTTATTAAGTTTTATTTAAGCAAAAATATGATTTATTTGATTGAATTCTCAATTACTAAAATATTTGATAGCTGCAGTTCTACTGGTTTATGGCCTTTTTCCATATAAATGAGATGTTACTAACTGAGGATCTTGTGCCCCTTGCTCAGGTTTTCAAGTTATGCCCACCTGATGTCTTTCTGGAGCCAGATAGAACCAGCCTTGCCGTGCGCGTGACCAGCAGACTGGCAGAAACGTCTGGACAAGATGTTCGCCATGCTTTTCCAACCTCACTTCAACCCATTGATGAGTTTTTTCTTTTTATGAATTATCTAGCTTTGGATCTGGTGCAGAAGGATCTGGCTAATAGATTTTTTATTCACCCAGTCCACTGTGAGCCGCATCATCACCACTTGGGCCAATTTTTTATATCAAGTGTTGGGAGCTATTGGTATTTGGCTGGATGAGGAGGCCGTACAACATTATATGCCAGAGGTTTTCTCAGAGTACAGTGACACACAAGTCATCTTGGACTGCACAGAGCTGCGCTGTCAAACACCTGACTCCCTCTTGCTGCAAAGTGAGCTGTACTCCAGCTACAAATCACACTGCACTTATAAGGGACTGATTGGAATGGCTCCTCATGGCGCAATCACATTCATCTCTCCACTTTATGAAGGCTGTGTCATTGACCGGGAAATTCTCAAGCAGTCAGGCCTTGTAGCTCTGCTGAAGCCCTCAATGGCTATTATGGTGGACAAGGATTTCCTTGTGAAAGACCTGGTCCCCTGCAAAGTCCACATACCCGCCTTCCTGAAGAAACAGAAACAGCTGTCTGGAGCCGCAGTAAGGAAGACTCAGTCCATTGCCAGGCTTAGAGGTCACGTGGAGCATGTCATCAGAAGGGTGAAGGAACACAAATTGTTCAGGACAGTGCTCCCCTCGTCTTCAACTGGAAATATTAATCAGCTTTATGTTGTTGCCTGTCTGCTTGTAAACTACGAGAACGGACCTTTAGTGAAAGCCTGGGCCAGTCCCTTTCCATAATCATCATCGGCCTCTATGGACCAATACCAATGTTTTTCTATCATTTCATGTAGTGTGTTTGATTTTCTGATCTGTGTTGTGATTTAGGGCTATGTATATGTTTGGAGAAAGCTAAGTTGTTTTTGTAGCCTTGTCCCTTTCCATAATACTTAGATACATGTTGTATCCACTTCTCTAAACCCTTGACTTAGCAAATAAATGCATTAAGACTTCTAACTAAACTATGTTGTCCTTTTACTTATGCTATTGGGCTGTGCAGAAATACACCATAATGTCCTTAGATAATTAGTGTGAAACTTGATTGCAAATGCTTTGATTGTACGTAATAACTATGAATGTACAGTACATAACGATATGTATTCCAAATACAGTGTAAATGTTACATAACTATATGTATCCAAAGCTATTTCTGTAGATGTCACTGACGGAGGAAATTAGCAAATATGTTTGTTCTATCACTCTTGTCTACCAAGACTTGTGTTGTTTGCTTTTTGCTTTTTATTTTTTGTTACCATGCCTGGACAGTAGGGGTGGGACATGGGGGTGTGAGTGAGTGTGTAGTATCTAAGTGTGGTATTGTTTTACTGTATCTTTATTTCCTTAAAATTCACATGAACATGTATTGTGCATTACTGCTCATACTAAAAGACCCATTATCACAAAGGGTGAGGGGGGGAAAAATATAAAAAAATCTGTGCTGCATATGAAATTGTTATGTAAAACTTATAACCCGCACA